GTTTTTCCAACACCATTTATTGAAGAGGCTATCTTTCCTCCAGTGAGCATGGTTAGCTCCTTTGTCAAGGATGAGGTAGCTGAGTACCTCTGGAGTTGTTGCTGTATGTTCCAATCTATTCTATTGTTCCTTAGGTCTGTTTCTTTGCCAGTAACATGCTGTTTTTATCACAGTGGCTTTGTAGTATAGTTTCAATAGTTATACCCACTGCCATTTCTCTGTTGAGTAGGATGGCTTTTGCTATTCCAGGTCTCTTCTGGTTCCAAATGAAGTTTTGGAATATTTTTTCTAGTTCTGTTAGATATACTGTTGGAATTTCAGTTGGCATTGTATTGAATCTGTATAGCAGTTTTGGTAGTATGGCCATTTTTACTGTGTTGATTTTTCCTACCCAGGAGCAGGTGATATCTTTCCATTTTTTAATATCCTCTTCAATTTCTTTTTTCAGAATGCTATAGTTTTCAGAAGAGCAAAATAGAGATCTTTTGCTTCTTTTGTTAGATTGATTTTCAGGTACTTAATTTTTTTTGGATGCTATTGTGAAAGGAATTGTTTCCCTATTCTCTCTCATTCTCTCTCAGTGAGTCTGTTATTTGTGTACAAGAAGGCTATTGATTTTTGGTGTTCACCTTGTATCCAGCTACTCTACTGAATCTGTCAATTAAGTCTAGAAGTCTTTTGGTGGAGTTTTTTTGGGTCTTTAATGTACAGTATCATATCATCAGCAAATAATGACAGTTTAACTTCTTCCTTTCCTATCTTTATTGCTTTAATTTCTTTCTCTTGTCTAATTGCTGTGACTAATGTTTCCAGAACTATGTCAAAGAGGAGTGGTGATAGTGGGCATCCTTGTCTTGTTCCTGATTTTAAGGTGAAGGTTTTGAGTTTTTTGGCCATTTAATGTGATGTTGGCTGTTGGTTTTTCATAGATATCCTTTATTAAGTTGAGGTATGGACCATCTATTCCAATTTTTTGCAGGGTTTTTATCATGAATGGGTGTTGAATTTTATCAAATGCTTTTTCTGCATCTATTGAGAGGATCATATGGTTTTTGTCCTTGAATTTGTTAATATAATGTATTACATTTATTGACTTACGTATGTTGAACCATCCTTGCATTCCTAGAATAAATCCGACTTGGTCAGGATGTATGATCTTCTTGATAATCCTCTGTATTCTGTTTACTAGTATCTTATTAAGGATTTTGGTGTCTACATTCATTAAGGAGATTGGCCTGTAGTTCTCTTTTTTAGTTGTGTCTTTCCCTGGTTTGGGAATCAAAGTGATACTTGCTTCCAGGAATGAATTTGGAAGTATAGCTTCCCTTTCAATTTCATTGAAAAGTTTGAAGAGTAATGGTAGTAGTTCTTCTCTAAATGTCTTGTAAAATTCAGCAGTGAATCCATCAGGGCCTGGGCTTTTCTTTGTTGGTAAGTTTTTAATTACATTTTCAATTTCACTGATTGTGATTGGGGTGTTTAAAATGTTTTTATCTTCTT